TCTCTCTCTCTCTCTCTCTCTCTCTCTCTCTCTCTCTCTATTTTTTTTCTCTCCGTTTATCCTCCACGTTTCTAACGTTCACTATATGCGCAACCACTCGTCAAGCTCAATTCGCTCTCGTGGGATCTCTTCGAGACTACCCGGGTAAAGCCACGAGCGCGCGAGTACTAAGCTATTTTATTAGCTCGCTTTTTAAACGGATCTCTCGCGTTAGGCCAAGTGATCTCCAAGCGTATGCAAAAAAGAAGACGGGAGTGAAGGCTCGTCGCGAGAGACAGGCTTAGTGAAAAAAGGTCCTCGTACGCTATATAACGTCTACCAAGTGGCCCTAGAAATTAGTAATTATAGGTAAAAAAGGGAAATATTCTTTATAGAAAAGGTTTTTTTACGCAACGTATAGCGCGCGAATTATTGTGTCTCTGCGAGTGTCGCCAAGTCGATCGGCGATCGAGAACTATGGCCGAGGTATTTCTGGCGAGAGATCTACGGCCGTGAGCTGCTTTAAGACTACGTTAACAAGCTTATCAGCGAAATCGGCTGCGCCGCTTCCGAACGTATAACGATCTCTAACTGCCGATCTTATCTAGAAAAGAAAGCCCGACTTATATACGCTCGAAAAACCGATTACTGATAATTTCTATCTTACGTTCTTATGCGATGTATATATCGCGAGGAATCGGCGACTACGTTTGCCGATTGATTGTGCGACGCGAACGCATCTGTCAAACTAATCATTTCCCTTCAACGACGATAAACAGTCATCTGATGCATGATAGAAGAAACCCAGGTGTGCTCTTTCTCAAGACTTTTATATTGTACAATACCAAATGCGGCCACATTTAAATAGATTAATAGACTGTACATTGCCAAAAAGATAAGTATTTAAGTCTGATGTAGTTCCCAGAATTAAGACTCGACTGTAAGCATAATGAAGTAAAAATACAAAAATATGTAAGTACAAAAATAATGACGTAATGCCGATTCAAATCACTGAGGCAAGATAATGGCATGCAATTTTCATTGTAGGCTAATTCTAATTAATGTGTGTGCTTATTGATAGCATATCTACGGGTTTCGTCCATCATGAGTCGTCTAATGTGTATGCGATCAGTCGATCGATTGAGCCTGCATCGTCATTCGTAGATAGAGCAAAGGATGTCAAACGCGATCGAAATATAATACAAATGGTTTTTGCGGTGAAACATAATTTCTCAGGACGGTTACCTTTAGAATAGACAGCGAAACGGAGCAACGCAGACGCGTTAATTCGGTACATAGGACAGAGAAATTGACGAGTCGAAGAGATTGGTCGAAAGACGAAGAAAATTCTTCTTGCCGCTCCTCACTGCGATCGATCTGACGCGCGATCGTAACATTTCGAAGATGTATATATTATATTACGTTCGACGTATACGTGAGCTTGGTAACAAGTAATCATGAAAATTCTAAAATTCTTTTCCGCCTGTGACTTTTTTTCATCTTAAGCGCTCGATATTCCGCGTCGCGTTAATTTTACATCGCAGAAATGGCATTAAGGATTAATGTGTCACTATACATATATGCGTGTAAATTCCGACAGTATTTATAGACGTTATCGTATTGTACATTAGCTCATTGTTAGATACAAAAAGTCTTTCCGCATTAACCGTAGCGATCACTAACCAACTCGTAGGGATTCGAAATTTCGATGACCGAACTCCTCGAAAAAAAAAAAAACCGATATATTGTATTTAAAATTAGTTTTTTTACGGAAATATCACGTTTATTTCTACGTTCGTATAAAAAAAAAAAAACAAATAAAATTGGCGTATGGAAAAAATTGCGTTTACATTTCAATGCCCACCAGCGAGAGAACCAATGTGATAAATGTCATAGTTCTAAAAAAAAAAAAATAATGTTTGCATATCAAACCTGAACGATTCAATTTAACCTCTATTCAACGCGAGAAAAGCTTTTGTAAACGAGAGCGATTTTCAAAATTCCTATAAATTTCTTCCAGCCTTAGCAATATTAAAGTTCGACCCTGTTGTGTCGCAGAGAACTTTTGTTGCTAAATGTGACGGTTATTTTTTCAGTATAAACCAGATTGTACCTATCAGTTATACATAAACGGTATTCATACGTACGAAAAGCTATATTTTATTTTATCGATATATGTATATCACTGATCCTTTTATACTGCCATGAAACGTCACATGTTTCAAATTAAAGTAATTTCAATCGCAAACACACACACAGAACAAACGAAATGATAAAATTTTAATGATAAAAATCGAGAATGTTTTTATCGCAAGTAACGATAATGTGTATAAACATAAGAGACTTTTATAAAATTCAATATAAAAACGCAGAATATACATTTCGATATCGTGAAATTACGGATATTTCTTAATTGTGAAATATAAGGTTTGTAGGATCGAATAATGCTTGGCAAATATTTTCTATGCTCGTAGAAAAGGATTGCGGAATAAATGTATCGGAAAAAGTTCCTACTGAATCGCCATCATCATGGCAAAAAATATCCGATAAAACTTTAAGCAATTAGTCACAAAGCGAAATGGGAAATTGCGTTGGGAGTAGCGCAGTAAAGTGAATAAAAATACTTTGTTGTTCCGTGCGAGGCGTGAATTGTATCGTTACTCGTACAAATCCTGTACGGACGAACGTACACACACACACACACGCACGCATGCAGGTACACACGCACACATTTTAATAACCGATCGCCAATGATGCTCCGTTTCTTCACCTTTCCCTTTTCTAAATCCCGCGATCTCGGCGAGTATCTTTTATGACAATTTGTCTTAGAATTGACAACAACAAATTTGGCTCTTATCTCGACTATCCTCTCGACGTGCGTAACTATAAACAATTGTTAATAACGAACGTTTTTATGTACAGCTTTCTATACGCACGAAAATGTCCAAAGGCCGTCGTCAGCGCGAGGAATCGGCGGCTTGAGAGCCCCCGTTCATTGAGCTCGTGTCCTTTCTCATCCTGGAAGACATGTAAAAAAGCACCGAGAAGTCTACATCCTACGTCGGTTTTGTCTGAACGATACGATTTCTCGCAGGTAAAACACATCCGCATATTAATATTCACAGATCGATATACTAACGTGTATCTAATTCGGATCACGTATCCTTTCGCGTTTAATGAAGTACATGGATAGACGAGAGGTCTCATGTACCGGCCGATTTCTTCGCCGACGGCTAAATGCCACGTCTATGACACCATATTCTCTAGCGTGACTTCTAAATCGTTCCTTCGTTGTTGACATTCGGTGTGCGATCTATCGTCGGAATAAATTTCGCAATGAAACTGCGCGAACTCTCATCAAAGATCGTAATCGCGTTCCATGAAGAGTTATTGCTCGCATTCACGCAGATTAGGAGCTCTTAATCGCTTCGTATTTATTATGACATATCACGTACTCTAGACGATTAAATTATCGCAGCTACATTAAAAATTTCCAGATTCAACGTGTGAAGCATTTATTCGATCAAATAAATTAATAAATTATTATATATATGTATATGTATAATAAATAATATGTATATTAACTCTCTTAATACAGACAATGGGTCATTAATTGTGTCCTGCGCATTTCTTTTCTTTGAAATATTAAAGTACTTAGCTAAATAATACTCTCTCTTTTTCCTTTTTTTTTTAATACACAACTTTATGAATACCTTCTAGAAATGTTAGAGTGTATACATAATGAAAAGCATTTCGTATTTGTATTAGAAACGGCTCATTCAAGTCCTTATTAAAATTTTTGAACTTTGAACATATTCGAGTATTGATTTAATATATTTATGTTATTTGAATGTTTCTGTTAAATTGACATTTAATATTTCTTGGAGTTAGAATAACATAATGCAATTTATGAGGAAATAAACAAATGACGTAGAAATAATGTGCTGTAAAACGTAAATTCTAATAAAATGAATGAATAAAATATGTGTTAATTTAGCATATCATAAATGTTAATTTTACGGAGAAAATATGATTTCATGGTAAGAGTTAATATTTTATGATCTATATCATTAACGTATTATAAACAAATTGTACTGTTAAGCTTAAAAGTGCTGTCAAATTTTGATAGTTAATTTGTGACCCAACTTTATCAGTGCTCCAAATTGTGTTCTGGTTTTGCGTTTCTAATCGAAGCAAACCTTTATTGGCGAAGCTTATTGAAATTGAGGGCACCTAGTCTGCATCGATACGAGATATGTGTACCAACGTGACATTTCCGAACGCGGCGATAATACAATCAACGGTGCAATACGGTATGCCGCGATCGGACTTTCGCGAGCTCGTCGCAATAACGTTTCTGCGATATACATGTACACCGTATAAAGGGACGCATTTCTGGTGCGTCACATTAAAATGCTTGTGATACAACTAATCAACGTTGCTGTCGTCAAAGACTTGCTCTTTCTCACCGTCTCGGATTTCTCCTCTGAATCGCCCAAACGTCTCCGTAAAACTCGTTGGCGACGTAGATTCCTGAGCGACGTTGTTCGTTGCCGTGAAATGTCGTCGTGCTTCTTGCGAGACGAGAACTTCGTATCACGTGGCTGAAGCAAATCGAGATCGACAGACGAGCGATGCATTTCCGTCCGAAAGAATTCACCTCGTTTTAGGGAGGCGCCGTAACATTCTCGGGCACAGAAATATCTCTGTTCAAGGAGTTCAGCAGCTCCTCGTTTTCCTTCCGTACTGAAACGATAAGAATATCGGTAAGCAAAGTGAAAAACTAGAACTTATCTTTTTAGAAATACATGATACTAAATTGCATCTCGCACTCCAACATGTTTTCACAATGCGAGCAATCGACGACCATATAGATTTATGTTACCTTCCTTCCGCGTTGAAACAGATTTTTCTTAACTTCGGATTAGACTTAATCGCTCATGAATCAAGAGTAGCACAAAACTTAAATTAGTCTTATCGAGCGTTGCGGCGAAACTATATTACAAAAGTTAAATCCACGAGCAAAGTGAATTAACCGCGAAGAAATTTCATTTAGCCTAAAATGACGAAGAAGGGTCGCTGTTAGTGACTTCAAACTTAAATTTCGAAAGTCTCGGTATTATAATACTTGATATTTTAACTGCTTTTCTTTTAGGAGACACAATCAACACAAATGTCGTTTCATTCTTCTTAGTATTCAGTGAATAACAAAGATAGAGTGACACTTGTACCAACTGTATCTCCCAAAAAGAAATCAAGCAGTCTTTATGATTCGGGGTTAGTATCCAAACTTTCAGATTTCATTTGTCCAATTTACAATTGTGCTCGGCTAGTTCCTTTGAGTCGGATGCAGGATTCAGGAAACTGCTGTGAGTCAAGGTGATCACCACCGCCAGCACCGAAGCCGCCAGAAGGAAGATAAAGGTCCCCAAAACGATCATGGCGATTCGTCGATGACGCCTCGCTTGCTCGAGTTCCTGAGTGTCTTCTGTCATCTTCCGCATCTGTTTAACATCCACCTTTGTCTGGCGGATAGACTCCTTTCGATTAGTTACGGTACTTGCCCTTCGTGGCCTGGTTTTCTTGGTAACGCTGGCTCTTCTATCATCCCCTGAAGTTTCACGTCGTCGTCACATATTAATGTTAAAACGTTTTCCGTACGCCCACAGGAATTGATCGATAGAAGCGATAATCCTTTTGGATGCTTCGAAGCAAAACGCGATACGTTCCATTCGTCTTTAATGTATTCGAGCTATGACGTCACTCGAAGTCGAGAAAGTCGAGTATTTTATCCGATTATATTTTGACGTCGAGAAAAGATAAAACGTCAACTGTAAATGATAAACTCTACAAAGGCAATATTGATTCAAAGTTAATTATAGTTTTCTTTAATTAATTATAAGAAATAAAACATCTTCTTCTATATATTCTATACAAATTCTCTTTCCAATTATTTCCTACCTAAAGGAGTCGGTTGCAGCTGTCTGCCGCAGCTGTTCGTCCTCGAGTGACTCGGCGAGCTGAAACGTCTGCTGGACCGCTGATCTATGTCCAAATTGCATCTGGAGCGTCTCGGGTTGCTCGTTTGAGAGTATAATAGATGAGGAGAAGGCGATCTGTCGCCAGAATCGGGAAGACAAACACCGGAACGATCGTCCAGCTGGAAGCCCAGACTGTCTAGAGTGGGTGGATACAGACTGGAACGATGACCTATCCGCGTATCATTCGATCCGCCAGACAACGCGTAAACATCCTTGGCACGATTATAGAATCCTGACGATAAATCCTGGCCGGTTGCTGCCGCGAAATCATCCACATAAAGAATTATCCTTTCGCACGACGCGACACTCGGCCGTCGATTCCGATCGTCCTGATGATTAATGTCCATGGCGAGCGAATTAATGACCCCGAAAACGCGCCGAGAAGTTCGGAATATTGCTCTTCATCGTCATATCTTCGCCATCGATTGCTTTACGTTTATTTGATCGGGACTCTTACACCAAAAGATATATTTTTCCACGAGGGAATTGTAAGTTTGACACTTATAAAATGACTGATCCATATTCCGTCATATTATCGATGATACATATCTCATCCTCCAAGATCACGTCATCCATCATTTTGTCCCTGTAGATTTGCTATCGTAAAGTACTGTTATCAATTTAGAAATAATTATTTCTCAAAATAACGAATTGATTTCGAAGACAAAACTTTAGTCGTATATCCTCGCTGCCAGTTGTGGGAAAAGATTTTTATGAAGAGAGAGTAGGTGATAAATAACTGGAAAGCTATTTATATCGCGTCGTAAAGGGTGATTAAAGTAGATCGACCGCGGTTTTCACGGGTTCCCCATCACAGGATAGAACACTCTCTCTGGCGAGCGCTTTCGCGTTTAATCGCGACCACGATACTCCGCAACAAGCTTGAGGGGGCCACATCGTCTTCCATAAACGTCAGCATCGTACGAATATTCTTGCAAGAATGCCGCATAAGCGCTTCCCATGTATAAGATGCACAGAGAATGCTTCGTATTATATATTCGTTAGCTAATTACTCGGTCTTAACTACCTTATTCAGAAAATCTAAGCCTTAGTATCACTATTATTGACAAATATTGGCCCGATCTATCTTCAACGTTTAACCAAAGTGTCTTAGTTATTAACGACCAAAATTTGTCTTATATAATATAATTTTATAATTCTAAATTTATTTTAAATACTTCACTTTTCCATTAAAATTAATAACGATATTACAATATTCTCGATTATAACAACTTCACGTTATAATTTATTATATCAAGTTCTTTGAAATTCGATGTGGATATTGGAAAAAGTTACATATATATTCATCGTAAAACAATGTAAAGTTCAGAAATAATAAAGATAACTTTGAAATCTTGTATAATGAGATGGTTACACTATATAACTATAACGATAACACAAAAATATTCTTGACCTTGATTCTCAAGGACATTGAACTCGAAGACATGTAGTTATTATTAATTATCCTTGATAAGTAATGTTACATTGCGCAGGTATCTTATTATAATAAATCTGTTAGAAAGGCAAACATTGACGCAATGAACACAATCACGCGTTAATTCTAAATTATTATCGCTCCGTTTAAGTGCACCAAGCATTTTAAATAAATGAAACAAAGTCGAAGAAAATCTATTAAAATAACCTTGCCCATGATTACATATAACATTGCATAGTAAAAAAAAAAATCATTCTGTATTTGTGTTGGAAACGGTTCACTCAAATCTTTGTTAAAATTTTGAGTTGAAATTTAAAAAGCATATTTGTGTGTGTGTTAATTTAACATAATGTGATTGTCATTTAAATATTTTGTATTGAGTTAATGTTTAACATTTTTCAGTGTGTCAAAGTAATACAATTTATAAGTAAGCGGATAAATAACATAAAAATAATGTGTTTTAAAACATAAGTTCTAAGCTAAATGAATATTCGTAAAATAATAATTTGATATATCATAAAAGTTAATTTTACTGGAAAAAATGTGCTTCTACAGTTTGTTTGCAAACTATGTCGACATTATTTTTTTTGTTTATTTTTTAAAATAATATTTGTGTTATATTTCCTATTAATATTTATGTTATATTTATTTATTAAATTAACATGACAATTTAAGTGGACCGTTCGGAAGACGTGAAATGTATTAAATTTAACACGAACTTTCCAACTGTGTAAATTTTATTTCTTTCGTGCTTATTTTTATACTTCAAGAATATGGGAGCCGTTGATGAAATTATCTCAAATTTATGGCGGCGAGTAATGACGTAAACATTGCGAAACGATAATCTTGAGAACAGTAATTATAGAGAAGAAACAAAAGTTCTCCAAGAAGACGAAGAAGAAGAAGAAGGACGGCTAAAAACGTCGATCCATGTGGTGGACGTCACCCTTGAGTTTATTGCGACGTGTATTTTTAGCAATGTAGATCCAAGGCACCACTGATCCGCTTGCCGTGTCTCTTTCCTCGCGGCCCAAAATCCGCCGACGGGTATGTACGCAAATTTCCGCGTGTGCGACGCGCGCGCACACATATTTCCACGCTCATGTCGACAAATATACTCGGCCAAATATTTAGAGAATTCAGCACCCACGGGTGGTAGTTGAAATTATGTATGGTATGTAGTTGAATCTCGTCGTCGGTGTATAGAACGAAGATGACGATCGATTTCTCGGCCATCCTTCAGAAAAGGTCCCTTGGCAAAGTGAATTCAATGGACTCTCGACGGATGGTTGGTCTCGTAGGATGGATGATAACGTAAACGATAGCCTCAATAGTGGGGCCGTCAATTTTTCTCTCTTACTTCGAAATCTATCGTATCGAGACGCGCCACCGACTGCAGTTATTCAGACCGGCGGAGTGCCTTTAACGGTAGCAGTCACAGCTTCGATTTACCGCATTCCAATACCCATGCGATCGTGCGGGACTGGCAAATTGGTATCCGGAAACGGAAACTAGGTGTAATGGTATCGGATTCCCTTTGTTACGTCCGACGATCCCCGGGACCTCAGGTTTACCAATTTACTTTGATCGAGTACATAATCGGATGAAAGTCTTGCGCTCCGTAAGGAGCCGGTTAAGAATTTATAGGCATTTCGACTCGAAAACTTTTGAGGGTGTGTGACAAATTGATCAGACGATCGCATTTGAGACCGTAAATGCGATTTCACTTCATTCGTCGTATCCGGCGTACTTTTCTCGTACAGCATTTGAGATTGGCTCCAGCATCTCGCGCACTGAATTTCCCATCGATCCGTTCTCTCCTCACAATCAGTACGCAACGCGCCAGATATCGGTAATCGATGATGCTCTTGTGCCGGTTACAGATGTTAGCACATACGAAATACTGAATGCCATGAAGGACCTAATAATGTTCCGGATGTCGGAGATGCGCGGAAGAGCGAATGACAGGCGTAACAGGTGATACAAGCACTTACAGTGTCGCCGGAACTGCGGATGCTGCGCATCCGCGTAGTTACTAACGGCAATGCTTCGTTAATTTCCCGACCACGCTCTCGTACCTATCGATGTCAGATCTACGTAATTCGGGTCGCATAGAGAATATTCTAGAAATTTAGATTAGATACAGCCACGCCGTTATAATAAAAGTTTCAATAAAAATTTGTAACATATGAGAGCGATTCTCTCGAAGAATTAAAATTTAATATGTAAATATGCTGTTGAAAAATAATGTAACGGATCCCTTGTGATGA